TCTATGCGCCGTAACACCCGACAAAAAGTGACTCTTAGCCCTTTACATTCTTACCCCCACCCCACCCACAATTCACCACCCCACCTATCACTCTCGTAATAGACTTCCTAATCGTCACAAGGTGAGTCATTGGAAATCTTTGCAACGACTAAAAGGTATATTATAGATAGTACAACAAATTTTACATATGTATATTAAGTTTTTTTCATTCTTAATGCCTTTATGCTTAAAACTGCTGGGTCGACCTTACTATTCCAGATTCTACAGCCTGGGCTACTGCCGATAGTCCTTTCCATTTCTGATATTTTCACGTAAATGAGGTTCTACCAATCACGGCCACTGTCTAAATTGTTGTCGTTTTTCATCAACCTATCAAGTGTCACGTTAGTTAATTGTCTAATTGGCGAAATTACTTCCGTGCTAGCGTTCGCAGGGAGTGAAATATTCTTAGGCAAGCGATATATGGCAATCAAAAACGATTGTAACAAAATTTTTCATTTGAAATTTATCAATGTATGGATTTTAGCGCTACCTCGACTCACTGGTGACGTGTTATTCTAAAGTTTCTCGTGTTTTTACTCCGTAATTTCTAATCGTGAACTCGCTCAGGCGCTATGCTTTTAGCTATCAAATTTTAGTTTGCGCGTGAATTACATAGGGAAACTTGCAAACTAGTCTATGAGACGTTGCATAATTAATCGTAGAGAATCTGCATTTGTTGGTTAAGGTAACTTATGTGAACATCTGTTTGTTTTAACGGCGGTTTAAATATTTTCCGAACAGCAGATGGCGGAAGTGTCACATGGTATGAACCTACCCCGGTCATAACAACATCGCATCCAACTGAAGTGCTCCCCCCAGGCATTGTACAGGTTTATGAGGGATCTCCTGTCACACTTAACTGGAACTACAGTCTGACCACAGGTTTTTTTGTAGCTGTTATGCCATTTAACGTTGCTGGTATAGTCAGCATTTCCTCGGCTGGACAAGCTGGTGCTGTTAGTAGTTATTTTCAGCAAGGGTTTAACGCAAGCTCGACTCTTGGACGAGGCTCTCTGTTTATCAATAACGTGACTGTTGCTGACGACAGGGCTAATGGAGAATTCATATGTGACATAATTGATTTCAATGCTGACACTTGGAGGCGAACAATTCGAGTGAAAGTCATAGGTAAGCTTGAAAGTGCCACTGATCATGGAATGAAGGCATGCGACACCTCAGGGGAGTCTGGCACATCTCTATATTTTGTCTGAATGGGTATGGCATCGCAGTCTTGATCGTCTTAAAAATATTTAATTATCCAGTGTCTTGTTCAGGATGATTCTTTCTAGACCATGCACTAACCTTGCTCATTGAATAAGGGTGTGCACATTTGTGGTGCTGATTATGAATTTTTGTGGAGGTTTCAACTCTCAGTCTGCCGGCACTTATTTCAAGAAAGTA